TGGCTGGGGAATTCTGGGAGTTGAAGTCCATATATCTTAAAGTTGGTTTAAGGAAACTTCCTTATATAGGATGGTGGGCACTGCAATCATTAAGATTCCAGTCTTCCTGCCTGTGAACAATTCAATTGTTCTGAAAGGATCCTCACTTCCAGAACAATTGATGAAGCTTCAAAAAGAAATGTTGGAAAATATATAATGGCTCTACACGTCATCCCCAAATACCCAAGGCTCGGACATTCATGCCAAAGCGTGTGACGGTTGTAGCCGTGCAACACGCTTAACCCCGGGGAGTTTCGAACCGAGCATCTGCATTTGCACCAGGTGCTGTGTCTGGAACGTTTGGACTGTAGTTTGCTTTGCTTAAAAAAAAAAAAAGGCTTTGCAAACACTCAGTTGGTTTATAGTTTAGGGTAGTAGGATCATCGATACAATGAGTTAACCAGGTTTCGGACACCGAGAGACCAGCCGGTTAGATGGTGAGGTCGGTCTGCGGCCAGCCTAGCAGGAACGCACATGTTCGGGAGGCCGATTAATTTAAACATGCCTGCAATGTCTGCTGAGGATTCTAGCTGCCAATGGACTCTAGGAGCTGTTCATCTCCTTGATCCCTTGTATTTTTGCCTTTTTCCTAAGCTAGTTTGGCATTCCGGCTTCTACCAACACAAACAAGGATCCCACTGTCAATTCCATGGGTGTTTCCGCATAAAATTGCCTTGGAGAGCAAGCGATCCTCTGCTCTTAAGTAACTCTTCGCCCACCGTCACCCCAAAACACTGTTTGCATCAACTAAACCACGGTTCCTCAACTTTGGCAACTTTAAGACGGGTGGACTCCAACTCCCAGAATTCCCCAGCCAGCCTTGCTGGCTAGGGAATTCTGGGAGTTGAAGTCCACCCGTCTTAAAGTTGTCAAGGTTGAGGAACCCTGAACTAAACCCACTGGCTGTTTATACACATAAACACACCATTCTCCCACCGTTCCAACCATGGTTGGGACGTTAACCTTGCAATTCCTTGGTTGCTAAATCTTAATTCCAGATGAGCAAAACAAAATGGCTGAGTTTAGATCATCAAGAATGCCCTAAGAAATAAGCCACCTTAGGGCAGACGGATTGCCCGGTTCACACAGCCTAAAAGAACAGCTGGATTTCCTTCAAGACGCTGGACCCCAGACCAGCCAATCCCCTTTTAGTCTGGTCCAGGAGGTGGTGTGAACCTGAGGTTGACAAAACACCCTTGCCCTTTTCTCATAAGATGCGATACCCAAACCGACCTGATTACGGTGGAATAACAGCCTGGTTCACCCAGCCTGCTAAATTAAGGGTTGGGTTTCCTGCAAGATGTTAAACTACAAACCCCACTTCAGCCTCATCTAGGGTTAGGGACCCAGCCAACATGGGGAAGAACCATAATTCAAGATCGACCTGGGTTTGAACCCAGACTAAGTAGGTTTTGCAAAGGGAGTCTGTTCTTGGCTACCTTGATTAGGAAGTAAATGGGACAGGGATTATAGACCAACATTTTCAGAGTCATCTAGGGGAGAATAGATGTACTTTTGCACTCTGTATTGAACTCAGAGGGTGTTATTTCTTGAACAGCAAAGATTTTGCTGTTATCACCGAAGATAAATTCCTTGTGTATGTTTTATACTTGGCCATTAAAAGTATTGGTATTATTTCTTGAAAAGATCTGCACGTCTGTCCATCTTAGAGCACAACTCTGGGCGTGTCACCACCATGATAAACCCCCCAAAGCCATAAAAACAAAGCCTAAAAGCTCAAAATAGCCAACCACCATGGATTGAATGCAGAAGACCTCAGAAATAACACAGATAACACTAGGACGGCCTCTGTCTTCTCTTTCCCCCTTGCAGTCCCTTCCGCCCCATTGGCACCCTTCCTTTTCCGTGTGTTTTTGTTGGGGAGGAATTTGGCCGAAGAAGAGGTAGAAAAAACTAGGAGAAAATCTCACCAACAGGGCCAAGGCATTGCATATAAAAAAGACTTCCATGGAAGCCGCTGATCTTTTTCATTTTTCTGGTTCTATTGCCCATTGCAAAAAGACCCAGCGGAGGGCAGACGAAGATCTCTGTTGACTTGCATGTATGTAATATTATTCTGCTCCTTCTATTTCTCCTACCCTGGTGATAAGAGTTGCTGGCGCCTTTCCCCACCGCCTTCCCCAAAAAGAAGACATTTATTCTGTAAGCTCCTGGAGGCAGCGATCGCTCCTGATAGGCCAGATCCCAGGAACATATTCAGGAGCATATGATCATAAGTAGACTTGCAATGTGATAGACCTTCCACTTCATTTCATTTTCCCCTATTTCCCCACCATCCCAGCAGCCAGACAATATTCAGTGGCCACGTTCTGCCCTTGCTGGATTGTTTGGGGGGCCTTCTTCTCTATAGGTATATGTAAGATCTCTACATTTTATATACTTTGCAAAACCTCCATGAAATCGGATCTCCCTCTCAGTTAAAAGGGGAACAGAACAGCAGAAGCAGAAGAACTCTTAGGTAGACAATGATGTTCCTCAAAGAAACATCAGGTCTAGGAGACAGCTTGTTCCTCCAACTGGGCCTGTTTCAAAACCATGCTGGACTACAAAACCCAGTGCCATTGCCCAAAACAGCCTGATAGTTGGCATGAAATGCCCTCTACTCCTTCCAGGAGCAGGAAAACCCTTGGGTCTGTAAGCTCCAACCACACTCCAAATTAGACACACAGGCTTGGACCAAACCCTTTAAGAAGTTTTGATGTTCTGCATAGTAGAAATGTGTATTTCTAACCGAATAATGCAGATGAGTATTTTCAACCCTGTTTATTCTCTGAGTAGCTAGTCATTGGCAAAGCAGGGGATTTTTGTCCTTGTCTCTGTGCACCAGAATCAAAATGCATCTTAACCCCATGTTCTACCTTAGGGATTGAAGGTGTCAAGAAAAATTATGCAGCTTAAGGGATTTTCCTCCAAGGCATAGTGGGACAATTAGGAAAAAAAACTTGTTTTAAATAATAATAATAATAATAATAGGGTTTTGTTAAAACTTGGTTTTAAATGAAAAGAAAAGGATTTTCAAAAAGAGAAAAAACTGCTCGGGAAAATGCATCACTGAAATCAAAACCTCCCTCTGGCCATGTTCACACGTCGTCCAAAATGTGGTTTGCTTGATTTGGGGTTGGCAGGGAGGTCGTCTGAACCCAGCCTGTCTGGTTTGCACATCCATGTTTACGGCTCAGCATATTGAGTGAACGTAGACAATGTCACTTTATTAATAAACCATGACTTAGGATCGAGTGCTGACCGAGTCACTGTTTCTATGAAATGGATAGGCGAAATGAGACATGAGGTACTTCTCCAAATTTGAAATGGGGTTTTAGGAAGGCAATGAGAAATGCTAAACGATTCTTTTCTGGAGCTTGTTTTAGTTCCTTCATTTCTTGCAAATCTGCAATTTTTTTCATCAACGAATGAGGGTGTTTCTTTTTTTTAAAAAAAGAAGAATAAGTTTCTGTTCTTGACAAACAATCGTACAGATGTGCCAAGCTCCAAGCCAGCTGCACGTATTTGAGTTATAATCCCCACAGTGATTTTCTGTGAATGAATGGTCCAATCTCCTTTGGTATCTGTATGCGGAGGCCAGGTTGGGTGTGTTTTGGCGAGAATGATGGAACAAGTTAGAGCAGCGTTTCTCAACCTCGGCAACTTGAATGTGTGGACTTCAACTCCCAGAATTCCCCAGCCAGCAGGCTGGCTGGGGGATTCTGGGAGTTGAAGTCCACACCTCTTAAAGTCGTGGAGATTGAGGAACACTGTTTTAGGGAGCAACCAGAGATATAACACAACAACCCAGGAGCGTTTGGATGTATTTTAAGGGGTCTGAGAAATCAATCGCCTCCACAATGTTTTATTTTTTCATGTTTTCTCTCTGAATCCTAGCTGGAAAGTTTGCTTAACTTGGTAAGGAAGATCCGTCTAGTTACGGTGGAGCTGGACCTCGTGGTCCGTGACGGACAGGTGGAAGAGGTGGGCGGGTCGGTGGGCAGTCCCTCGGAGTTGGGCGGCTAATAAATTTAAATAAATAAATACTAATACTAATAATGGTGAGGAGCCACTTAAAGGCCCTCCTGAATTAAGGGGAAAAAAATCACAGCGGGCTAGATTAGCAGTCTCCCAACGGGAACCCCCCTGGGCACGTCAGGCGCCTGCCGGCTGGTTCGGAAGTTGCATTCTGCCTCGGGCAAATGCTCCTGGGGGCAATTAAGGGTGGGGGTGGGGAGGGGGTCAGGACTGCGGGGGCATCAGGAGTCGGAAAGTTGGGTGGGGGGACAGAAATGCATGGATTGCAGCCGCTGGG